CCCCCGCCGAGCTGCCCGAGCAGGTGCTGCTGGAGGACGCCATGAAGCTCTTCGACTGCTCGCTGGCGGGTGAGCTCGGCCGTGAGGACACGGGCGGCGGCACCCGGCGAGGCCAGCGCCCCGGCGCCGACAGCTTCTTCCTGCGCGAGGAGGCGGCGCGCGACTTCGGCTCCCTCTGGCTGCCCGAGGAGCTGCTCTCGTCCGACTACAGCGTGCCCGAGATCCTCAGCGCCGTCCTCAGCATGGATTATTTCTACGCCGTCAAGGTGGGACCCGAGGAGCCAGGCTGGGACATGGGGCTGGAGCCGCCACTGGACGCTCAAGAGAGGTGGCTGGAAACAGAAGGCAAGAGGTCGCTCCTGAGAGCGGCCCGCCTGTCCGGAGAGCCGGAATAGTCCCTGGAAAGGGAGCAGGTGGGGAGTGGTGGCGGGAAGGTGGCAGTTCCCGGGGGAGGAGGGTGTTCTTTCCCTCGGTTTTTCTATTAAAAGCTATTTGTGAAGAAACAGCCTCAGTGGCCTCATGCCTGGGGGGCCAGGAGCAGGGCTGCCACATGCGGCAGGGCAGCCAGCAGCACCCGGCCCCCGAGAACGGGGCCTGGGACCTGCCTGCGGCAGGAATCTCACTGGGAAAAAGAAGACACCAGGGGGGAAATGCCCTGGTGCCCCCCTTGTTGGAAAATGTCCTTTCCTTGGTGTTGCCTGGGGGTCTTCTCCAGACACCGGTATCTACAGGGCCTCAATCCACAGCCCTGACCCAAAGCACCAACCCAGCAAGGGCCGAGGAGCTGGGGAGGGCAGGGAGGCAGCAGAGCAGCAACTCACAGATGCCAAGACCAGAGAGGGAGAGCTAAGCCAGGACTAAAACCAAACCAAACCAACAGAACAACTTGCTAGGGAGGAGAGAAGAGGACTTGGGCAAGGGACATGCATTTGAGGAAGGTTTCCCTGGGGCCAGCATCTGCTCCTGGAGACCTTTCGCAAAGCACTGGAGCATTGAAGAAGTGCGTGGGGGAAGGAGCTGGCACTGTGCTCCAGGGCACCCTCTAAGCAGCACTTGGAGCATCCTCGCCCTTCGGCAGAGGAGCCAGCACCAGATTCACAGGAAACATCATCAACAGGCCCTTGTTGGGCCTGGACCATGGGACCAACCATGTTGGACCATGGGACAAGGGCTGCAGCACCTCCATGTTGAGGATTACAGACTTCCCCTCCACCAAAGGGGCACATGGAAGGGCGAAGTCCCACCTGAAAGTCTCAGGGAAATAAATCCCTTATTTCCTCACCCAGCAGTGCTCCCGTAGCCATCATCCCTCTTTCTTATTGCTCCAGCAAAATGAGTCACATCCCCCCAGGGATGGAGCCACTTGAGGGGAAAGGAACCTTCTCAGCCCACTTGCCTGGCTGCTCTCAACATCCTCAAAATCAAGGAGAAGGGGTTGAGAAAGAAAAGAAAAAAAAAGAAAAGAAAAAAAAAAAAAGAAAACAAGCCACACACACACCCCACAAAGAGAAACAATAAATGAAATAATCACTGCAAATGGGCCAGGAAGTGCCTGGAATACTTCGTCTGTCTTTATTGACTGCTTGGTATTGGAGCTCCACAGCTCTGTGCCAAGGCCCGCACCGCACTGCCCACCGCGGCCGCGCGCCTGCAGCCCCCAGCGTGGGCGGCCCGGGCCTAGGAGGCCGCAGCGCAGACCAGGGAAGAGGAAAAGCCGTTCGGGCCTTGCTTGCAGCAGGCGCAGGCTGAGCCACGCACGTCGTCATCAGCAACCCCATCGCTGGGGAGTCATAAGGGCGATCGGACCCTTCGTTAGGGCAGTAGCCCCGCGCGGTCGGCCGAGGGGCCACCAAGAGAGTCACTCTGCTCCACAGCGTGAGTGAAAGCAAACAAAAAGCAAACCAAAAAAAAAAATCCCCCTCAAAAATCTCTAACTAAATAATCCCTAGTGCCCAAGGACGAGTTTCCCTCTCCCAATGCTGTTGAAGCCCTTGGTGCCATCAGGCCCATGCGGCAGGCGGATCACACCAGCTCGGAGGCTGAAGGAGTCAGGCACCTTCTTGCTCACCGGAGAAGGGCAGGGTGGAGGTTTGGGGTCCAGAGGAGGGCTGGAGGTCAGGCCACATCTCCACGGGGCCCACGCGCTGCCCAGGGCCAGGCTGCTCTCCCAGCCATGGTCGGCAAAGCTCTGTGTCTCCGGGCTGGAGCTCAGGCCATAGGCGCCTCCGTTCCCCAGCTCGGTGGCCAGGGGAGGGAAGATTTTACTGGCCAGGAGGGAGCTGGAGTATGGGCTCAGGTAGGAGCAGGGTTTGAAGCTGGAGCTGCTGGGCCAAGTTGGAGAGGAGAAGAGCTTGTGCACGGGCAGCGGCGGGGACTCTGGCATGCCGTTCGACTCCGAAGAGCTGTAGAGCAGGGACTCGCCAAGGCCATACGGAAACTTCTCGGGGAGCGTGACCGCCTGCTGCTTCCAGCCCAGCTTATCTGCGAGCTCCTCATTCTCCATCGCCTCCCTCTCAGCCCTGCTTTTCTTCTTGCAGCCCTTTCCAGAGAGGTGGACCACCTTGATGCTTTCCCTCCCCAAGGAGCCCTGCATCTGGTGGTTCAGGTCTTCAAAGGCTTTCCGGGCGCTCTCCAGGCTTTCGTACTCCACCAGGGCACAGCACTTGGTCAGGAGCTCGGGGTAGCGGGCCGTGTATTTCCTCACATCCGAGGGCGGCTTCCTCCCAGGCCGCAGGATGCGGATGGAGGCGATGGCACCGAATGGGCTGAACATCCTCGTGATGGTCTCAATGAAGTTCTTCTGGAGCGGCGGCAACACACTCTGCTCGTGTGGCAGGAGATCCCAGGCCAAGAGCAGCTTGCTGGGTGGGCTGCTCAGCAGCGATTCAGGAATTGGGATCCTCCGTCTCACCTTGGTCCCTTCCTCATTCACCTCCAGCAGCTCCGAGAACTGCAGGGCATAGAGCGTAAGCCGCCAGTCCCGCGTAAGGTATTTCACCTGCAAGAGAACAGTGGCCTTTACAGCCCTTTGATGCTTCCCAGACAGGGACCAGCCCAGATCTACAGTCCAGGCAGGCTGCAACCCCCTCTAACTTCAGTCACAAGGACAGGACAGTAGCAGAGGGTTGGATTCAATCCTAGTGGGAGACCAGCTCTTCACTGCTTGCCTTGGTCACCCTCCTTGGTAGGCCAGTCTTGCTTAGACCTGGAGAAATGCTGCATCTGCAGCAGGTATCAGCCCCCAGCACTGCACCTCCAGGCCTAGAGATGTTGCTTCACCCAGACAACAACAGCCCAAGCAGGATCTGGACCTCCCAGCAGGATACACCAGACACAGTGGGAAGTCCACCAGAAACCCCGAAGCCACCACCCACATCTAGCTCCTGCACGCTGCCTACCTTCTTGAAGGACGTCAGCAATTTGATGCTGACGAAGCCCATCTTGTTCTTCTGGACATGTTTCAAGAGGAAGGCATCTTTGGCCAGGTTTTCATCTGAGAGGTAAAATTCCACCTGGGACACTATTCTCCTGACCAGCTGCGGGTCGGGGATGGAGTAGCTGCAGTCAAACAGATCAGGCCCCAGAGAACTGGGCACATTGCAGAAGCTCCTGAGAGGAGAGCAGCAGAGATGCTGGCATGAGCTAGAAGCCGTTGGGGTGTCCACCACTGCCAGGCCCAGCCACAGTGGCCTGTGGAGATGCCAGGGGTGCTCATGCCACAGAGCAGCAACATCAGCCCATATTCTTGGGAGGTGGTGGGATCCCCAGCTCTGTGCCACAAACCCAGGCTTGCCCTGGCCAAGGGGCAGGTGTTAAGGGCTCTCATTTGGGGACACATGCAAAGGAAGTTAGGAGGAGCTCAGCTCCCCTTCCCTATAGCTCCCAGCACCACCACGCCAGCAACCACCTACCCACTGAAGCTCTCCACGAGGTCCTCATGGCCAAACAGGGCGAGCGAGCGGCTGCGGGGCGGGAAGAGGGGCAGCTCTGGGCGGGATTTCCTCTGCGCTGGCAGCGCGGGGCTACAGCTGGGCTGGGAACCAAGCCCCAGGGCCACCACAGAGCTACGCGATGCCATGGTCCTTCATCAGGGAGGTCACACAGGAGAAGGACAGAGCTGAGACATCTCTTGGCTTCAGCCACAGCCCCTAGAGCCCAGCCCAGGGCAGGAGAGCTGGGCTGGTCACTGCCCCCTTACCTGGCAGAGGGCAGGACTGAGGACACAGCAGAAGCTCCTACCACTACATCCTAGAGCCCCACAGGCCTCCTGCCTCCAGGCTAAAGCTCCACAAAGACAGAGGGAAAAGAAAAGAAAGAAAAAGCCCCCAGGGCTCTTAGGCTGCTGGTTTATAAGGGCAGCCCAAGCCCTGCAAGGGCCACCCCGGGAGCTTGGAGAACTGCCCTGCAGGAGCTGCCCTGCAGCCAGGTGAAATGTGTCTGTGGGTTGAGCAGCCGCAGCTGAGGCTCGTGAGCCGCAGAGCGGGGCAGGGACCACGAGCTCCAGGTCACCTTGGGCTGCATCTTGGTTTCCTTGCCTTGGGCTGGGACAGCAGCATCAGCCAGAGGTGGAGGGAGGGTTTGGGCCTGGGTAGCGTTTGCACTTATTGGAGTGATGTACAAAGGTCCTTCTGCCTGTAGAAATCCTGGTCCCAATGAGGGGATCCAGAGGAGTGGGACGGACTGAAGCTCTTCAGAGGGGGGTAGCACTGTGGGGCAGGACCCCTACAGCCTCAGCAAGGGATGGGCCAGCAGGCTCTGCTGGGGGCTGCGTTGCTGCCCCCGTGGGGACAGGGGCTGCAGGGGGACGGGGAGGTGCTGGGATGGGGCACGGTGGCTGCCAGATGTGGGGGCTGGTGCGGGGTGCGGAGGGCTGTGAAGCTGGCCGGGACCTGGGGCTGCCATCCTGAGGGCTTGGCTGAGCTGGCAGCGGGAGGTGGATCCGCTACCAACCCAAACACTACAGGGCTTAACCCAAACCCCTGCGTGGAGGAATCCAGACCTTCTGCCCAGAGCTGCCCTGAGCCTTCCCCACCAGCAGCCTCCCGGGCTGCTCCAGCGGGCGAAGGATCCCATTGCCCTCACCCAGCACCTCCCCAGCCCGCAGAGGCACCCAAATCCTCCCAGGGATTTGCCCAGGGATGAGGAGGGGGTGACAGAGCCAGCGATGAACCCTTTGCTCTCCTGCACAGTCTGCTGTGCTTGGGGACAGCAGGTGCTGCCCAGCATCGCTGGTACCGGGATCCCACAGCCCCGGGAGCAAGTCGAGGACACGGGGGACACAGATAGAAGGATCATCCCAGCCCCGTGTCTCAGCGCTGGGAAGGAAGGGACACGGGCCAGGAGCAGCAGCTGCTTTACTGACACTTGGAGCGAGCGAAGCAGAAAACGGTACCACAGCAATTAGTTGTAATACAGGCCTGAGCATTTGATACGTGTTTATTGCTATCGGGGTTTAGCCGGGGGTTGCGCAGGGGGCCGAGGGGATCCTCGCGCTGTGCAGGGCGGCTCCGCGGCTCCCGGCGGCGCGGCCGTGGCAAGCAGGAGGCAGTCGGCTTCGGTCGCTCGCGGCTGCAAAGAAGAGCCAATGCAGCCGCTGAGGCGAACGGCACGCGCTGCGGGAGCGGGGAGCTGGGGGGCTCGGTTGCTCAGTGGGTTTTAGACCACCTTATCTCTCCAGCAGGAGCTGATGTGAATTCTGCACTGCTATTATTTACAGAAGAACCGCATTCCTGCTACGTTGACAGGAGACATTCATAGACAAACATCACCCTGACAGGCGACAGCACGGGACAGGGAGAGGAGTGCCACTACACACGCTTTCTTTTTACTTTCCATTAGCGTTTTTTTTCTTTTTAGTGTCACAACTACCTTAGTATCCATTTTGAATGAGTAAATATGATATCTGGATAGAATATACTCTGATATGTAAATGCACACGAGGCCCCTGAAAAAAGCTCACATCAAATACTGGTATAAAACATCATTAGAAATAATAAAAGCTATTTATGACACAGCATTTATTCACAGAAAGATTTGCACTGGGGTCCTGCGTTTGCTGTTGCTGTTTGGCTCGGGAATGGGTTTCCACTCCCCTTCAGCCCCGTTGTCCGTGATACCAGGCAAACCCCCAGGGCAGGGAGAAGGGGGAATAAAGCAGAGCCCAGGTCCCCCCAGGCTCAAAGCTGCCCGTGGGGAGTTGGCACCGGGACGCCAATGCAGGAGAAGGCCAAGCGAAGGGAAGCGCCGCCGCGGGCCCCGTGCAGAGCCCTTCGCTGCTACATGGGCCGTGGCTGCCGCGTTTGACCTCGATACGAGCCAGGCGCCGCTGCGCGGGCTCGCCCAGGGCGGCGGGGAAGCAGGCGGGTGGCCCGTCCTAAGGCACTGCACCCTCGCGTCTGACCCGCTGCGACTGTGGGCAGCAGAGGGCACGGAATGAGCTCGGGGACTGCGTCCTTGGAGTCTTTTGGTGTCTGGAGTTGGCCTGGCAGAGTCCTGGGATCATTTGCAGAGGAGCCACAGAAGGCGCAGCCGGCAGGACGCAGGAGTGCTGGTGGGAAGGCCACGTCCTTGGGTCCCAAAGAGGGTTTGTGCACCACGCTGCAGGCACTGGGGAGGTGACAGGCCTGGACCCGCTCCCACAGCGGCGCAGGAGAACACTGCGCTCTGCTGCTCTCCCCCAGCACCAGCGATTTGGCTAAGTCAGAGGCAGGACAACTTGTTTCGCAAGACTGTAGGAGAAGGGTCAGGTATTTTTCCTTCTTCTTGGGCACTGATTGGTTCAAGTTTGTATCACAGTGAAGTCTGAGAAGTGGGGAAGAAACCCAAACCACCTTCCTTGAAAGAGAAAGCCTCATTTGCCCACCTTGCTCACGCTGCTCCTGACTGGCTGAGCTCGGCCTCTCCTAACCAGGCACGTGTGATCCATTGCTAACCACAGAGGCTTCGCTCTTGCTTTAGCAGACTTTGGACCTTCAGCCTCCACCCAGCAATTGTGCTGTTTCTACCAGTAGAGAGGTGGAGGGCAGCAGGTGTCCTGCATGTTCTTCCTGCATGGACAGTCCGCGATCCCTTCCCACCACCCGCCCAGGCTCACCACCTGGAACCCTTCCTCGAACAGAAGTAAACATAAAAAGAAACTAAGAGGCACTAATAACGTGGATATGGGGAGACGCAGGCTTGAGGCTCTCAAACCTGGCTCCAGAAGTCTTCGTCCAGCCGGAGAAAAGCCAAGTCCCCATTTTAGATCTCCTGCAGCGAGTGCCCGGGGTCGCTGCGCTCTCGCTTCACGAGCGGCTCCCCCAGGCTCCGGGAATCTGTGTCCACCTCACTCCCCAGGTCACTAATGTCATCTGCAAAGGACAGGTCTTAGCATCAGGGTCGTCAGTGGATCGGGAGGGGTCATTTCTCCCAACAGAGCAGAGCGGAAGAGCCAGCACAGGGATCCCCCTCCCACAGTGATCCAGGCTCAACCCAGACCCAACAGGGCTTCCCTTTGGGGAGAGGAGATACCTTTGTCCAGCAGTGTTGGGGACATGGATGTGAGGTCACCAAACTGAAACAGAAAGGAGTTACAGGGTTAGTGAGGATTACAGCATCCCAAGGTGCCAGACCTGCAAGTCATAATCTACTTCTAGGCCATTCCAACCAGCTGCTTAAGTCCTTACAAGAAACCACAAGCACCAGCGGTGCTGGCAGCGGAGAGAGCAAAACCAAACTCATGTTTTTGGGTAAGTCTGGGGCTTCCATTTAAATGTCTGGGCAAACACTGTGCACTAAAACCCAGGAATACAGCTCCAGAACAAGATGATTTTTCTTCTATCCCCATGTCATCATCAAGCCAGGTCTGCCTCAGAGCCCTAACCAGGACACAGCACTATGCATGGTGCCTCTTGTCCAGCCCTGTGCATCTGCCAGGCAACTGGTGAGACGAGCCAGGTCTTCACCTCTCCTGGGACCATCACCCCTGCTCCACAGAGCTCTCTTCAAAGCGTTTTCAATCATTTCAGGAAAGTCCTTCGGCTTGCAAGGCTACAGAGGCAAGTGCAACCAGAGAGTTGGTGATATACATGGTCCTGGACGCCTGATGTCTCCCTATGTGCTGAGGTCTGTAGCACTAAATGATTCTAAAGATCTCTAAGATTTGAGGACTCTGCGTACTCATGCAAAATGGGGCAGCAGTAGAGCTGAAGACAGTAAGAGTAATAAAGCACTACAAATAATGGAAATGCAAGGATGTGATTCATTCTCTTGCCATGAGGAATCAGCCACCTCCTGGAGCACAGAAATATTACAAGAGTCTAACAAAAAAGGCAAAGCCTGGAGGTTGAAAGCTTCCCAGTCAGGTACTGCTGGAAGCCACACTCTGCTGTTCCCGTTTCTTTAATAGCAATAAAGACAAAGGTTTTGCAGAGAAGAGTGCGATTTTGCGGCACTGCTGATTCGATCGAACAGCGTGGGGTTAACAGGAGAGGAGGAGGAAGCAAAACGCATGCAGTTGATTTGTCTAGCTCCCCTACATGAGCTCCATAGAAGGAAGAAAAAACAGTGTGAATTGCAAGGAGGAAACGAGATTAGTATGGAAAATGGTGGTTTCCATATTGCTTTCACAGGTTGACTGTAGTCTTGTAGTCTATGCTCCTCAGATAGGCAGGACGGGGCCTGCTAACAAGCCGAGTGCCAAATTTACTGCAGGAAGGTCCATTTCCTCCCCCAGGCGATGCTCAGCTGCCTCCAAAAACCATCAGCTCTCGCATCGGTGAGCCAGGAAGGATGAGGCACAAGGAGCCGTGCACCGGGCTCACAAAACAACTCAGTAAATCCTTCAGCAAAAGTGATTATGAAACGTACTCAGGGCACAGTGCAGTTTGTGAACTGATGGTGTCCCTTTAAACGGGGCTTAGTTTGGGTCTGTTACTAGGGAATAAACAATTCTCACCTCTCCCATTACGGCAATCGGCGTCTCCCCTGTTGCCTGAGCAACACGATGTTCTACCAGATAAAACATGTATTCGTCGTAGAGGAGGCGAATTAGGTGGAAGGAACCAAAGCTGGCAGCGCTGCGCAAGGTGAGGTCACGGA